TTTTAAAGAGAAAGCATGAGCAAACTTTAAGTAGTGTCAAGATGGTATCATTACTGATGGGTTAGGAAGAATCTATGTAGAGGAAGACAGTGTCAGGTGCTAAAACCTTTGGTAAGTGAAGGGAGGTAGCCAAGAAGCTGGCACATGATGGGAACGAGGAAGAGTAGCTAGAAGCTACAGAGGATCTCAGGTATGTGAGGTCTAGGAAAACAGAAACAGCCTCTACTTGAGTCTTCAGCGGATAGGTGTTTTTAATTTAGAGCAAGGAAGTCAAGGGACACTTCAAGAATGATGATGGCTGGGACCAGCAGTTAGTGTCATGGCTATGTCGCTGAACTCCCATGTAGTCGACTGTGGTTCGAGTCCCGGACCTGGTAGCTTAAACTCACGCTGGGCATGTGTGCGTGCATGCCCAAGATCCTGGAGGAGAATGGAGGAGAAGGGATTGTGGCATGGCCATCCCCCCTGGGGGTGATTTCTCACTTTCTATCTCTCTGTCTTTCTCTTTCTGGCAAGTGCACATGTGGTATAGCAAAAACCTCTCCAAAAAAAAGAATTGCGATGACTGACGAAGAAACATGTTTCAACAGGGAACAGGGATGGGCAAGATCAAGAGTTCAATCCTATATGTCTTAGTCTGAAGTCATCAACAGATGAGTGAATGCTAGAGTCATTAAAGTTTAGAGGGTTATCAGAATCCATGATATTAGATGAACTCATTCCATGAAAAGAATGAAAGAGAGTCAGAGATGAAGAATTGGGACATGACAAAGTGTTTCTAGAAGGGAATTATTAATGAAACCTGCTGAAATATCAACTAAGTGAAAGATCACAAATTGATCTCTGAATTTGGCATAAGAGATCTATTAGTAGAACAGCTCAATGGAGTGATGCAGAAAGCAACTTGGTGGAAATTAGAAATGCATACAGGAAGGCCACGAACAGTTCCTTAGGGAAATTGTGACCAATAGGGACAGAGATTATACACTTATTTTTTTTCTCCAGTTAGGATAGATTACAATCGCATAGCGGTTACGTAGCTGGACTCCCACATGGCCAACTGTAGTTCAAGTCCCAGGCCTAGTGGCTTGAAAATCACACTGGACACATTTACATGTGTGCCCAAGATCCCAGAAGGAGAATGGAGAAGGGACTGTGGTATGGCCATCATCCCTGGGGAGTGATTTCTCACTTGCCCTTTCACTATCTCTGTCTCTCTTCGGTTTGTGCACATACCCTAAGGCAAAAACCATGTGTGTGTGTGTGTGTGTGTGTACACATACCCTAAGGCAAAAACCATATGTGTGTGTGTGTGTGTGTGTGTGTGTATGGTTGGTTGAAATTGAAATTTAAGAAATTAAATTGAGAAGGTACAAATTATGGTGGCTGGGGTGGAGAGGAGGGGAAGATCATTGAAACCAAGAAGATGAGGATGCAGAGCTTTAGATGAATAATTCACGTGGACTGGAAGGCACCAAACTGAGTGATAGAGAAAATGACAGTGACATGTGTCAACATTGTTGGTGAACAAAGGGAGTGATTAAGACATTGGCAAATGTCAGAATGCTGCTCAGGGGGGTCATAGTGCAGTGGTATGAGCATTATGAAACAGTTTTTAAACTTATAAAACCACATTATAATAAGTAGAAAACAACCTTCATTTGAGAGGGTCACAGGAGAAGCTATTGGGTTGTCGCTGCATTTTTGCATAGATAAATGTATCATGACTTTCCCCGACAACCTAATATATCCTCAGGGAATGGTAGAGTTTCAGTTACAGCTTTTTTAATGAAAAGTGTCAGGACCAGCAGTTGGTGTAATGGCTATGTCGCTGGACTCCCATGTAGTCAACCGCGGTTCAAATCCCGGACCCAGTGGCTTAAACTCACACCGGGTGCATGTGCGTGTGTGCCCAAGATCCCGAGAGGAGAATGGAGGAGAAGGGATTGCGGCATGGCCATCCCCCCTGGGGGGGGATTTCTTGCCTTCTGTGTCTCTGTCTCTCTCTGTCTTTCTGTCCTATAGCAAAAACCTCTCCAAAAAAAAGTGTCTTTGTGATGTTAAAATCTGAGTCCCAGTCGCTCCAGTTGAAGGATGGATGAGATAGAGGCTGCTCAGAGGAGAACAAGAGAGAAGTGATCATGAATGATCTCAAGGTCCACCCCAGATGAGCCAGGGAGACAGGCCAGCTTAGCAGCATGCAGGTTCCGAGCAGTCTTGGGGAGGATGCTGAGCACTGAGCATCCGAGAGGCCCACATGGCTTTCAGGAGGAGTAAAGGAGCCCCAGAGCAGCTTCTGAATGGAAAACTCAAGGCTTCTGTGTTCAGCCTTAAGTAAAACATGAAAGAAGTGTTTAAAAGGAAGAATGTTACTGACAACCAATTTTATGAGAGGACAAAGCCAGAAGGGAGGTTTCTGGCCTGGATTTTTAAGGCTCCTGGACAGCTGTCCCCTCAAACAGGAGTGCACAAGTCCCAGCGGTGGTCATGGTGTCAGCTTCCCCAACAATGATGATCAACTTTGCACTGTTTTTTTCAAGTCCATAGGTGTGGACCCTCTGCCGGCTAAGCTGTCCTATGACAAGTCGCATGACCAAGTGTGGGTCCTGAGCTGGGGGGATGTGCACAAGTCTCGACCAAGCCTTCAGGTACGGTGAGCTCACAGAGCGGCTGATACCAGCCAAGGAAAAGGCCACCTTCCACTTTCCCAGGTGGTCAATCACACTTACCGAAAATACTGGGTTGTCAAAAAAGTCATGATGCATTTTTGCATAGAAAAAGGAAAACATATCATGATTTTTCCAAGAACCTAATACATCTGTAAGGGCTGGAAGAGAGTAGGAAACAGCCCCAGGCCAACCACCTCACAGGTGATTAGCAGGGTATCTTTAGCCAGGCCTGCTATTAAAGAAAAATATATTGTTTAGAACTGAAAATGAACAAAAATGATCACCCAGGTTAAAATTGCAATAGATGAGTTCGAAAATACATGCTTTTACTGAGACTCAAAATAGTAAACTGAAAGAGTAAAAAAATAAGAAAATCTCACTCAAATCCAGGAGTAAACATAAAGGGATTGAGAAGTGAAATGGGAACAACAAAAGTTTGAGGGGTAAGATAATGGTTGGAATAGAGTCAAATATTAAATCTAAAATACAGTTTCCAAGATGAAGAAACTTAATCACGTAGATTAAAAGGAATCTTCTAGGCCAGATTGATGAGAAATGACACATCACTGCCCTTATTGATAATGTTTTTCTTTTTTTAAATATTATTAGAACTATTTATTTAATTTTATTATTATTATTATTATTATTATTATTATTAAATTTGATCAGAGTGAGACTGGGAGAGAGAAAGAGAGGGAAAGTGAGAAAGCAAGCCACCAGGTCCAAGACTTGAACCACAGTCAGCCATGTGGGGGTCCAGCAACTTAATCACCATGCCACCTGCCAGTTCCCATCATGACATGTTTTCTATGCAAAACTGCATCATGACTTTTCCGGCCACCCAGTAGACCTGTGGAATCGAGTTTAAGGGAGCCAGATCCCATATCGCCAACCACAGTTTGAATCCCAACACCAGTAGCTTGAGAAACACACTTGACAGGTCCCAAATTGAGAGGCATTATGGGATAATGAGTAGCCAACATATATCAAACAACATAACCACACACATAAAACAGTGATTAAAAATAGAACAATCTGTACTTGGGGTCAGCAGACGGCATAGCAGTCGTGTTGCTGGATTCCCACATGGACTAAGGTTCAAGTCCTGGACTAAGTGGCTTGAAAATCACACTGGGTACATGTACATGCATGTCCAAGATCCCAGGAGGAGAACTGAGAAGGGATTACAGCATGGCCATTCCCCGTGGGTGGTGACTTCTCACTGTCTCTCTCACTGTCTCTGTCTCTCTCTTTCCAGTGAGCCCATGCACCCTACGACACCTCTAAAAATAGAAAGAAGAAAGAAAAAAAGAATCTATCCTTAAGTGTTGTACATACAAAGAGATAAGATAATGTCAGGAAATTGATATACAACAAAGAACTTCGTTTAATAAATATATAAAATATCTTTCATTTGTCAAATAGAATTTTTTCATATGACCACATACACAAGAGTGTATCACTCATCATAAAGAAAGCTTTTAATTTTTCATATAAGTAAATGTTACAGGCCGCATTACCAGTTAATTTAAAAATTACCCCTGGGGGCTGGCAGGTGACATGGTGGTTAAGGGCACTGGACTCCCACATGGGTGACCACAGTTCGAGTCCCGGACCTAGTGGCTTTCTTTCTCACCTTCTCTTTCTCTTTTTTTTGCCCCCACTTTCTCTCTCTCTCTTTCTCGCCAAATTAAAATAAATAAGCAAATACGGGAACCAGCAGTTAGCATAATGGCTATGTCGCTGGACTCCCACGTAGTCGACCATGGTTCGCGTCCCGGACCCAGTGGCTTAAAACTCACACCAGGCGCGTGTGCATGCGTGCCCAAGATCCCGAGAGGAGAATGGAGGAGAGGGGATTGCGATATGACCATCTCCCCTGGGGGTGATTTCTCGCTTTCTCTCTCTCTGTCTCTCTCTGTCTGTCTGGCGAGCGCACGCACCCTGTAGCAAAAACCTCTCCAAATAAATAAATAAGCAAATAAAATAAATAAGGTTAAATAAAATAATTCTTTAAAAAAATACCCCTGGATAGCTACTGGATCAAAGAGATTAAAAAAGAAATTACAAATTGTCTCAAAAGGAATGAAAAAAAGAGACTATTTCACATCAAAATATTCAGAGATTTTGAAGGGAAATCTGTACCCAAGGAATATTTGTGGCTCAAAAACATGCAAAGAAGTATGTGTCTTCAAGAAATTAGAAAAAGAACAAAGTGGCAAGAAAGAATTATTAAAGACGGAAAGTAACAGAAAACAAAACAAAAAAAATGAGTAGAGAAACTGATTAATCCTTCACAGTGCTGATAAAGAAAAAAGCAAAAGCAAGGGGGGATGAGAAAGAGAAGATTACCGCTGATACAGGAGGATGAGAAGAATTGCATAATAACAATACATCGTTATTATGGAGAGGCAAATTCTAAAACCTGGAGGAAATGGATGGTTGCTTAGAAAATGTTTTTTGGGGGGGACCAGCAGTTAGCGTAATGGCAATGTTGCTGGACTCCCACGTAGTCGACCACAGTTCGCCTCCCGGACCCGGTGGCTTAAACTCACGCCAGATGCATGTATGTGCGTGCCCAAGATCAATAAATAAATAAATAAATAAATAAATAAATAAATAAAAGAAAATGTTTTTTTTAATGACCTAAGAAAAGTAAAACCTGAAATAGACCTATTGTCATAGAATATTTTCTTTAAAGGTGATATATAGAAAACTATATAGCTGAGTTTTATCAGGTCTTCAGAATTCTAATATTGTTTGATCTATCCCAGACCATAGTGGGGAGGGGGGGTATGTATAGCTATTTAGTTTGTTTAAAATAACCAGTATAATTGTAATTATAAAAACTGATTAAAGTGGGACCAGCAGTTAGCGTAATGGCTATGTCACTGGACTCCCATATAGTCGCCCACGGTTCGCATCCCAGACCCGGTGGCTTAAAACTCACGCCAGGCACGTGTGCATGCATGCCCAAGATCCCGAGAGGAGAATGGAGGAGAAGGGATTGCAGCATGGCCATCCCCCTGGGGAGTGATTTCTCTCTTTCTGTCTGTCTCTCTCTGTCTGTCTGGAGAGCACACGTGCCCTATAGCAAAAAAACTCTTCAAAAAAAAAAAAAACTGATTAAAGTGGTATAAAAAATAAAACTACAGACCGATCTTTGTGACTACCGAATCCTAAACATAATATTAGACACAGTCCAGCAATGCATCTAAATGCCCATTAAACACAACAGACATTCTTAATAAAATACCTAAAAGTTTGTATATAAAAGGAAATTCCCTGTGTATGTTAAAGATTATTTCCCCACCCAATAGCAAGTCTTTGACTAAATGACAAAATACTAAAAGCATTTTAATATCAGGAATTGGACCATGATACTACCATCACCAAAACTGGAACATCTGAAAACTGTATTATCACGGGACCAGCAGTTAGCCTAATGGCTATGTCGCTGGACTCCCATGTAGTCGACCGTGGTTTGCATCCCGGACCTGGTGGCTTAAAACTCACGCCGGGCATGTGTGTGTGCGTGCCCAAGATCCCGAGAGGAGAATAGAGGAGAAGGGATTGCGGCGTGACCATCCCCCCTGGGGGGTGATTTCTCGCTTTCTGTCTCTCTGTCTCTGTCTGTCTGGCAAGTACACGCACCCTATAGCAAAAACCTCTCAAAAAAAAAAAACTGTATTATATTTGTAACACGTTAAAAACAGTGAACTAACGTTGTTCGAAAACCCAGCACGAAGGGATTCGTTGGCTGCTGTGACCGAAGGCATTTCTGAGACTGAAGCGTGTGCCCCCAAGCGCTCCCTTGGCAACCTCTCTGTGAACATTTGGCATCTTCTCAAACTCTGCCCACTCTCCCCCAGGCCCAGCTTTGAGCTGCCTCTCACCCTGCCCCACTGGATAACTTGTTCCTCTCCAAGGGTCACTTCTCAGCCGGGTTTGTCCACCCCACTGAGGGAGATGTCCCACCCTGACAACTGACTACCATCTCCCGATCTTCCGCCATATTTGGTATGAACCGAGCATAGAGCCAGCCAACTTGAGGGGCTTGGCTGTGGTCTTTAGGGCACTCACGGGCCCAGCCATGTGCCGGGACACAAGAAAAATCCACAAAAGAATGTGTGATTCAGAGACGAGACAGACTTGCTCACATCAGCCCAGTGGCCCGTGGTGCTGTGTGTTGATGAAGCAACCTCTGAACACAGGGTGTCAGAGTGGCGAAGCGTGAACAACACTGACCGACGACAGCCTGCAATTTTCCATCTCTATTATAAGCTAAAATGACAGGCCTGATATCAAGCAATGATTGTGTGGCATCTTAGAATTCGCTGGCATTTATCCCCAGGCGCTCTAAGATCCAGTTTCCTAATGCTAGTGTTTTTTTACAAGTTTTTCGCCCCTGTGGATTCGCCATGTAAGTACCATTTGACCATTAAAAAAAATCAGAGGAAAATAACTTAATGCAACTTTAGAACTTCTCAGGACTGAAAATCACAACAGGCAACACTCCAGCCCAGCCCTCTGCCTGCTGACCCCAAAGGGAGGCATGACCGGAAACACTCTAACCTCACACCTGTCTGAGGAGCAGGCAAGGTGCTGTTTGTTTTGTCACAAAAATCAAAGCCAGAATGAAGTCCCTCTCCTAGCAGGTAAAACGTCCAGAGCACCAAACTGTGTGGGTCGCCAAGCTCCCACCAGAGACCACCGTCGCCTTGCAGGCCCAGCCACAGGCTGCAGAAACCTGCCTTCTGCATACAAGGCCACAGTGTCCTGCCCAGGGCAAGTGTCTCACCTCCCTGCTCAGGCTGCGGCATCTGCCCCTGTCCTGCCCCCAGGACCAAGGCTTGTCCTTAGGGCCTTGGGCCAAGATTGTCCAAGTGGCTCAAGCCTCTCATCCGGCTGGGAGTCGGCCACCTTCTGGGCAGCAGCCTGGAACTGGGAGGCTTAGGAGCACATGTAGATGGCAGGAGGACATGGACGCAGGGGCGTGATGGCCGGGCTTCCAGACCCATCTCTCATCGCACACCCTCACACACCAGCTGGCCCTATTCTGAGCTGTCCTGACACAAAGCCAATGGGGCCTCACTGGCTCTCACGGGCTCCTGCTGAGTGCACCGGGGAGAGACTACGGGGCGGCCGAGCTCGTCACTGCCAATTTGTACAAAGCGCAGCATCTAATGTTTACTTTCACAGCGAGTCCCCACCACGAAGCCAGAGCCTGCCCCAGCATTCTAACTGCAAGACACCAAAACAGTGTTTCTACATGGCGCCCCTCCAGGACTCCTGCCGTCTCCGATCAGTTCCGAAGTCACTGCTCTGTGAACAGCATACAGAACGCCTCCGTGTAGTGATCCCAACAAACCAGCCCAGGCACCTGCTGCCGAAGGAGCACTCCCACTATGTAATATCTGCATTATTAAAAGCTCCCTCCCAGCTAGCAGGTGGCATGGAGGCTTAAGGTGGCTGGATCCCATGTGGCCAACAGTGCAGTTCAGTCCTAGACCCGGCTGTTTGAAAATCACACTGGTCATGTGTGCAAGTGTGCCCCAAAACCTGAGAGCATGGAGAAGGGATTGTGGTGCAACCATCCCCCCAGGGATGGTGATTTCTCTCTCTCTCTCTCTCTCTCTCTCTCTCTCTCTCTCTCTCTCTCTCATAAACACGCACATCTTATAGAAAAACACAAGAAAAAGAAAACCTCCCTCCCTCCCTCGTTCCCTAGAGCGGCCTAGATATTGAGAAGGCGGGATTCCCTGTTGGGGACGAGGTTGTCTGTGAGCCATCAGAGCAGTGTCTCAGTTCTAGGGTGTCCCAGGGAAGCCACACCACCATGCCACAGGCCCTCGCTCTGCCATCAAGCTGTCTGGCAAGGTGCGGTACAGACAGGCCTGGCCAAGAATCCCACTGGTACCCCCCTGTTCTGCCACTTTCTCTCCCAGGAAGGACGGGTCCTGCCTAGGATGCTCCCAATGCTTCTCTTTTCTCCTGCCCCTTCCCGGAGACTGCGGCTTGTCCGTTCTCTCTCCACGGGGAAGGCCCTCTGCTAGTTCTCCACCTGAGCACACCGATATCTCCAGTGTCAACCCCCACCCGGACGGGCCCTCACGAGGACTCTTGCTCTGTGTCGTAGGTGATCACAGAGGCCAGCGCCGGCCAGGGCCAGCACCTCCTCCGCACACCCTTTGCAGGAGTGGACGACTTCTTCATCCCCCCGACAAACCTTATCATCAACCACATCAGGTGAGCCAAGAGAGGCTAGGATGCCTCCAGGTACTCCGTGCTCCAGCTCAGCCCTGCACGACAAGAGAGGCTAGGTACTCCGTGCTCCAGCTCAGCCCTGCACGGGGCATCTCTGCCAGGCTCCTCACTCTCCCCTCCTTCTCTCCTGAGCTGGCTCTGGACACCATCAGGAAGGGAGAGAGAAATGAACCTCTCTCTAGGAAAGCAGACCCAGAGCCCAATCCTCATTGCTTAGAGTCAGTGACCCTGTTATAGTTAGGGGGATGCCCAGCACTTACTGTTTCCAAGGGCACAGTGAGTTCAAAAAGTCTCATCATCAGGGTGAGAACAGCAGCAATGAACCGAGCACACACTGTTTGCTGAACATGCACACCTTAGTAGAGGAGGTCTTGACGTCTGTTTACAAATGAGACTGAGAAGCAGAGACGTTAAGATGCTGACTCAAGTCACACAGCCGAGACTTGGCGGAGTCTGGCTAACTGCAGACCAAAACTCCTTTCAGTGCCCCTTTCTGCCTCCTTCCCAACTAACCACAGAGCACCCGTGCAAGGGACCCACAGAGAGACAAGTCCCCCAGAGTCCCATGGTCTGCCACCAGCCAGAATCACCACGTAATCATTATAACTGTGGCCTCAAGAGCAAACCTCCTCCCAGCCTGGCCTCCCCGTCCCCTATTTATTTCAGAGAAGCCCAGACACTCTCTCTAAATTACCCAGTGTCAGACTAACCCTGCCCTCTAGGTCATCGAGACCCCAAGAGTCTCGAGGCGCTACTTACTCTTCTGTAATCTGGCATCAAGCTCTTCTCCAAGAAGAAATGATTTGTCTTGGTAAGCCAATGCTGGGGACCTCACCTGTTTTCCTTTTCCAAGGGAGAAAAATAACCCTATTAACCCCCTCATTGCCGAGAGCCAGGGAAGAGCACCCCTAAGAGCCTGGTCTGTGGCAAAATGCGCCCAAGGATGCTGAGCTCGGCTGGGACCGCTGCCCATTCAGAGGCCCTGCAGCTGCTGTGTGGCTTTTCCACTAATGTTCCTGAGAAGAATGGGGCCTTCTTTCTTACCCTTTCCATGTTCTGGCTCTTTAAGGATGTTTTAAAGACATGCCTGGGAGGGGAGGAGAACTTTCCCCACTCTGAGGTGCAGCTTTTTGAGAGACAATGAAGGAAGTGATTTCGCTTTTTGTATAGTGTACACAGCACCAAGAGGCCTCAATGAACAAGGGACTTAGGCACAGGCTCCTAAGGTCACAGGGAAGTCCTACCTGGAGTCAGGTCTCCTCACACTGCAGCCCCCTTCTAAAGAAGACTTGCTGACAAGCCCAGACGTGAGCAGCCACCACGTACTGGTTCCTCCTGTAGTGCCCTTCCGGGTCTAGTCCACCCAACAGCCCTAAGACATCATCATTCTTTCTGGAGTCACCAAGGCTCAGAGAGGCAAGCAGCTTGCCCCAAACCTACAGCTAGCAGGGGGTGTGGCAGCACCAGGCCACCTGGCTCCAAAGGAAAAGCTGTCCTCAGCCCCACTGCCCATGCATGCTTCCTCCTACCTGCTCCATCTGTGCGGCCAGAGACGAGACTGCCCCCTGCACGCTGCCCCAGGGCAGGGGGACACAGAGGAAATCTATATTCATTGGGTGGCATCTGGGTCCTCCAAATCTGACTCACCAGTGGATCTAGAAAACAGCAAGGGTATAGGATCTCCTACCGTGTCCTATAGCGGGCAGAGCCAGGCAGGCCTCTTGTCCTCCTCCACACACGGCTTCCAGCACAGACCCACCACCGCCCAGCTGCCTCAGACCGTAGGGAAATAGAGTCGAAGGCGTTCCAAAGACAGATGCAGCTTAAGTCCCTTCCACCCTCATTCTTTGCCACTTCTGAACATGAGTGCCATTACAGGAGCACGCATCCAGGGACGCGTGTAACTCAGCTGTACCTGGTTTCAGATCACAGGTCATTTGTCTGCAAAGCCGTCCCCTGCAAAACAGCTGATCTTATCTCACACTGATAACTGGTAGATCTCATTACAGGAAGAGGGGTGGGATGCACTCATTGAATACAGAGGCTCCCTCCTACGCGGTAAGGAGGCTTCCCAACCTCTGACTTCAGTTCTCGCCCCCCACCCCCAGGTTTGGCTTCATCTTCAACAAGTCTGACCCTGCAGTCCACAAAGTAGACCTGGAAACATTGCTGCCCCTCAAGACCATCGGCCTGCAGCGCCACAGCTGCGTGCCCCAGGCCATGGCACACACTCACCTTGGCGGCTACTTCTTTGTCCAGTGTCGACAGGACAATGCCACGTCTGCCACCCCGCAGCTGCTCATCGACAGTGTCACCGACGCCGTGGTTGGCCCCAACGGGGATGTAACTGGCACCCCACACGCATCCCCTGATGGGCGCTTCATAGTCAGCACCGCAGCCAACAGCCCCCAACTGCACGTGCAGGAGGTCACAACCCGGGGGGAGATCCAGACCCTGTACAACCTGAAAATAAGCCCCGGCATCTCAGACTTGGCCTTCCAGCGCTCCTTCTCCAAGGGCAACCAGTACGACCTCTATGCCACTCTGGAGACAGAGCCAGACCTGCTCTTCCTGGAGCTGCCCACGGGAAAGGTGGGCATGCTGAAGAACTTGAAGGAGCCGCCCACAGGGCCTGCCCAGCCCTGGGGGCCACCCCGCAGACTCGTGAGGGACAGCGGGCTGTTTGGACAGTACCTCCTCACGCCAGCCCAAGAGTCGCTGTTCCTCATCAACGGGAGACAAAACGCACTGCGGTGTGAGGTGTCAGGCATAAAGAGGGGGACCACAGTGGTGTGGGTGGGTGAGGTATGAAGGAGCCCAACGCGGAGCCCAGAGTGGAGCCCTGGGCCGAGGAGCACCACCCGATCCTGACACTGCAGCCCCCAGCAGGCGCGCTGTACATTTTTACAGACAAAAGCAAAAACCCGTCTTCGCTTTGTGGTTCCACACTGGTCTCCTTGCAAGTTTCCTCATATAAGGTATGCGCTGCTGCCGAGATTGGGGTTTTTTGGTTCGGAAGTATGATTTACGCCTTGCGCTCCGATGAGAACACATGCTGCCGTGTAAAGGAATCATTTCTGTGCCCAGCTGCACGCCTCGTACCTGGGGACGCCGTGGAACAAGAGCTCCGCCTTCCGGGCTGACTCTCCGGTCGGTGGCCTTCACACGCTCATCGTCCTTTACCGCCAGATCCAGCCAGACTTCACCTAAGGAGCAGCCCGGAAGCAGAGGCAGACCAGGAGCAGGGGCTCGCCCTCCTGTCTGAAAGCCCACCTGCCCTCGCTCAGGCCCTCATATTCCCCTTTGCAGCTGCTGCTTGCTTTTCTTTCCATTTGACTTGTTAGCCTGAGCGAGCGCCAACGAGACTTGTTGCATCTTGGGGGGGGTGGGGAAATCACTCACTTTATTTTGGAAATTTTTGATTAAAAAGTAATTTTTTATAATCTCAAATGCTAGTAAGCAGAAAGATGCTCTCGAGGTCCAGCTGTATTCTCCCCTGCCTTAGGCCAAGTCTCTGGGGTCACGACCCCGCATTCCACAGCCAGAAAGGACAGTGGTCATCTGAGAACACTGGCCCTCTACACTATTGCCACCCCCGTTTCTCTAAGTGCAGATCAGGCCACTACGTTGGTAGGACTCGATTCTGTGCTGGGACCCTGAGAGACCAGGATGAGCCCCGTGTACCTGCTTTTCACCACGGAAGAGGACATCTCATTAGGCTCAGGGCACAGTGGGCTTGCCTGGCAAGGTGTAGACAGCCTCCAGGCTCAAGGCAGACACCCCCAGGGATGAGGGTAGTGTCCAGGCAGGCTCCTGGGGTCATACCTTTTAAAAACAGAATCCTTTTCTGCCTGTGGCCTGTCCATGCAGCTCTGGCACCGCAGCCCCCACCAGCACTGCTCAGACCACGCACCGCAGCAAGGGTTTTCTGCACGCACGCCCAATTACACACGCTCGGAAACTCGGAACCAGCAGACGCAGGCCTGCACAGCCCCTG